ATAAGCCTTACACGGCAACGAGATGGTGTGAAACCTGCAGCCTCTTTTCCAGATGGCATGTGCGTAGGCCCATACAGTGGTACCTCAGGTTGCAGACGCTTCAGGTTACAGACTCCACTAACCCAGAAATAGTACCTCGGGTTAAGAATTTTGCTTCAGGATGAGAACAGAAATCGTGCAGCAGCAGCGGGAGGCCCCATTAGCTAAAGTGGTGCTTCAGGTTTCAGGTTAAGAACGGACCTCCAGAACGAATTAAGTACTTAACCCGAGGTACCACTGTAGTGTAACACTCTCCCTTTCAACAGCAAGCAGGAGAGACAGGGCAGTTTGTAAGACTGACACGCAGGAATGTTTCTTCCCGCACACCAGCTGTTAGGTAAGAGAGTGTTATGTACTAATCTTGGATCATAGAACAATAGGCTGTAACCTGAAGCGTATGTAACCCGAGGTACCACTGTATAGCAAAACAAAACAAACAAACAAACAAACAAAAAACAACACCAAGAAAAGAGTCCCATTTCTAGTCATTAAAGGAAGGCAACCAATTTATTTATTTATTTATTTATTTATTTATTTATTTAAGGGTGCAATACTATACTCATTCAGGAGCAATCTCCACTGAACAGTGGGAGTCAGACCATTGGTCCAGCATTGCCTGAAAGCAGAGCTTTTTGGGGGGTCGGTACTGATTGGTATACCGCCACCTCTTTTTCTCCTGCCACCATCTCACTGCCACTGCTTGCCTACCCCCCCTCGCTGCCCCCAGCACCTTTGCCACTTCCTCCTCCCCCATCACTGCTGCTTCCTGCAGCTGTAGGAACAGCCTCCTGGAGGTGCTTTACTGTGACTCTTACAATCGCCAAAGTGCCTTCAGGGAGTGCCTGACACTCATATGCTCTGGTGCAACATTTTTACAATTGTCAGGCACTTCCCAGAATATGCTTTGGCTATCATAATGGCCGCACCAGACAGTGAGGAGACAGTGAGCCTGCAGGGTGGGTAGGCAAGAAGCGGTGGGGGACATGGTGAGTACTGCCACCTACTTTTCTTCAAAAAAACAACTACTGCCTGAAACTGGCAGTGGCTCTCCAGAGTCTCAGATAAAGGGCTTTCCCAGACCTACCTGGAGATGTCAGGTATTGAACTGGGACCTTCTGCATGTTTGACCATTGAGTTACAGCCCTTCCAGGTCAAGCCATGGCTGTCTCCATGGCTCCTGGCACATATGAGAATGCGGTTGATTCTCCCGTCCTAAATAGTAAACCTCTCTATTGATGTACTATCCATGCCTGTAGGTCACTCTTTTGACCAGATATTTGCAAATATCAAGGCCAACTCAGCTCTCACTGTCTCTAAAATGGAGGAAACACACACACACATGCATACAGTCTACTTGCTTTTCTGTCCCAGTTTCATTCCGCCCTCTCCATAAGTGGATTGTTCCTTCACCCAAATCTCCCTGAAGTATTTTTAATCTAATCTTCTCTGTAGCGGAGAGGTCCAGGTCACTGATGAACATTTCTTTCCTAAAGCAAAACCCCAAAAGATAATAATGCAAAAAAAGGCAACACAAACACACTTATAAGAATAGAACATGCACCTGAGACTTACTGTAGAGGTGAAGAGAAAATGTCAATATTGAGAGCAAACAAAATTGAGCAAGCAAACTCAGGGGCATGTCTCCCCCTGCTGGAGTCTTTCCAGGTGAGCTCTACAGTGATGTTTTCCTGCCAAAACTATATTGGAAAAAATTACTGGTCTACCCTCCCATGCCATTGAGCTTGTCCTCCAAAAATCAGCAAATGGGAAAAGAATGGAATATTCTTTAAGAACCAATGAGGCAGCCTTATTGGTTTGTCTAGCTCAGGACTGGTGATTGACTCTCCATGTTTTTAGGGAAAGAGTCATCTGTCCCTCTCCTCTCAACCCTACCTAGGGAATCTGGGAATTGAGCCTAGGGCATTCTGCAAACAAAACATCAGCTCTACCACTAGGGATGAGGGAGCAATTTGATTTGGTTCACATTTAAAGGTGAGCCTACCTAATTTGCACTTAGGTGGACTAAAGCACAGACATGCTTTGGAATTTGTGCTTCTCTGAATTTTGCAATGCAATTCTCTAGTCAACCAATGTATTTTTAAAAAGGAAAGACTGGGTGAGGTTTGCATAAAAATGCAAAGGCTTGAATTCAGTGTTGCACTATTATAACAGTCCCGACAACATAAGGATTTTTGCTTGCCAGAAGGAAGAATCTCCCTGCACCTCCTCCCATGGTTCTCATTAACCTCCAGGGCAGACTGAGGAGGAGGCAAGTGTGGGGGAAGTGAAGGGAAACTCCTGTTGTGCTAGCAGCACTCATTGCACTGGCTCCCACTTAGTGCAACAGTTTAGGTGGATGCAGCCCGCATATGCATGAAAAAACATATACATAAATACATTAAATTAGGGGGAAATGTTTTGCAAAAATGTGTAGATATAGGAAAAATTGCATGCCAATGTGTTTATAGCTCAGTCTGCAGAATGTGGAGGGCCAAAAGTTTCCCACTTGGCTTAATGTAAGTGGTATTGTTCTGAACTGCATGCCCAAAGCAGGGCTCATGGGAGTTGTTGGGTGCAGGGATACCAAAGAGGGATGTCCAAATGTCAGAGTGATCAGTTCTAGTGCTTCATTAAATAAGGTCTAGACTTACAGCAAAGCAGCCTGCCAGGTGTCCAAGTCTTTTGAGATGTGGGACAGACACCACAGCAAAGAGATGGCTTGTCTGTACCTAAGCAAATGTGCCTACATTCTTTATACACAAAGCAGCAGACGCCACTTTGACCAGGCAATCTGAACAACTTTGAAGATATCACCACCCCATTTGATGGGACTTTACCAAATTTGAATTCCAACTGCATGAATTTGGATAGCTATCATTGTCCTATTTGGCAGGACAATTCTAATCAAATACCAGTTTGGATGCCTCTGAATATATCATAACCCAACTTGGCACAACGACTTCCCAAGATGGAGGAGATGGCCTTCATCTACGTTTGGATGCTAAATTCCAACTTGAATTGAGATGGTGGACCAAATTAACCCTAATTAAACATTAGATCTCTCACCCACAAATTGAGTCAGGTCAGGCTCAGGTGCACCCTGGGTCGAGTTGGAACCATGGGTTGGTTTGTGTAGTGTACGCGCTCACACACAAAGCCTCAAAACTCACAAATTACACTACCCCTTTAAAAATCACATTTTTTGTTCCTTTGAATTCTCTAGCAGCAACAGGCATATCCTGTTTGATTTAGTTAAAACAGCACATCTAACTCTCAGGTCTCCACCATGGTGCCATAGGCACTTTGGCACCCTTAGTCACCAAAGTGCCCCCAGACACCTACTCCTTGGCACCCACCAAAGCCCACGACCCCTCCTATTTTTTATTCTAATAAATCACTGTACCATGTGGGTGGGTGGGGTGTTGCCTTAGTATAATACCATTAGAAATGTACATTCCATCCTCTTCAACACCCCCACCCAATGCTCTTGCTTACCCTGACCTGCCTAACACAAGAGCCCTTATAGAGTCCTTTGTAGGTTCTCCATTGGTAGGAGAAAATAACAGAGGCCAACCAGAGAATACTGAGAAGCAAAGCAGTTAGTAAGTCTGATCTTTATTAAAGCTGTTGCAACAGGGTTCTCCCCTCACAGGCAGGAGAGAGGAGGAGGACCCAGAACAAAGGTGTCCAAGCCCTTACATAAACTTTTGAACTGCCACCCTGGAGCCCAGACCACCCCCCAATACATCATACATACATCAGAGAAGGGGCGGACTACAACAGAAATCTGAGTGCATTGTTTTTATCCTGTCTGCCAGGTTACCTGATTGGATTACCTGGGCATCCTGGCCACTCTTTTGTTATGATAACTACTCAATTATTGAATCCAGGTCACAGGTTACAGGCTCACCCTATTCATACCTTAACTGTGCCCTTGAGACAGGATTTGTGAGCAAAGAGACAATGGGGAGGCTCCCCATTTCCTTCCACCTTGCAGGGAAATATTTGAGGTCAATTTGGAAGAGACAAATGGTTTCAGGACTTTTCTGTGGGTCTCAGACATGTGGTCTATACATTTATGTATGTGTTTGCTTGGTACATCTATGAACATTTATTTTATATATAAGACCTTAAAATTCTTATAACTGTACATTTTGCTGAATGGGTTTAAATGGTTGTGCTTTTTAAGCAGTTGGTGGGACTTTCACCCATCGTCTATGCAGATGACTTAACCATACTCATGTTCCTTTTGCAGTACCCCCTAGTGCTCCAGAGGGTAATAAACACCACAAGATATAGACAACAGCCTCCTAAATCAGGACTTGGATTCATCAGTTCTCCCAGAAGCAGCTCCTGCCTTACTTTTAATCTTGCCCAGCCTAGCTTGTGAAACACACAGTGAAATTGTCGCCTGAGGGGCTATGGCAGCTGCTGCAGGCTATTAGCCCACCACTGCCCTCCTTAACTTGCACCACTGGGCTTTCTTCCCCCCTTGTATCCTTTTTCCTTTTCTTTCATGATTCCTGACACACCAGCAGGAAGCTTAAGTGTCAGGCTTAATTTTAACATTTCCTGGCACTTTGCTGCTTGCATGGCTCACAATTCGTGCCTTATTTTGGAGACAATTTGTGTATTTATAATTAATATGGATTAGATATTATTATCCAGGCAATATGGCAGGCAAGCAGTTAGAGGGGAGAACAGCTGTTCAATAATGCAAATGATGCACACATAAATTACATTTTAGCAATGGGATATTATTACCCAGACGGACAAAAGTTCAGAACCCTGGGGCGGCTGAATTAAAATAGCCCCTGTGTGGAAAGTCGCCATAGAGACAGAGAGGGGGATTGCCAGCCTGGTGAGTGACAAGAGCAATGCTGCTCTTGGGGGTTAGCTGGGCTTGTCAGGCAAGGGATTCAGTGTTGACACTGGTGACCTGGGTTCAAAGAGCTAGAATCTAGTTGGTTGATCAATGATTACAGCAACCGCCTTTCAACTTTGATGTCACTATGACAACGGTCAATTGACTGGTCAGTTGTTGGCTCACAGAGCTGGGTGTGGCAGATGATCTAGTATGCTGTCTGGATCTCTACATAAGACAAAGAATCATTATTTGGTGGTCTGATAAAGAACAACAGAGAGGGGCAAGATACAGTCTTGCCACTCTCCTGTGTGGTGATACAGACTCCAGAATGGCAGGTGATCAGGAGAGGGAGAGGCCACAGGTAAGTGGAAGAGCACATGATCTGTATGAAGGGGGTCCCAGGTTTGTTTATTTATTTATTTATAAAAATATTTATATACTGCTAAACTGTAAAAAATAGGCAGCATTATAAAGATTTAAAAACAAACAATAAAAGCATAAGAAGTTTAAAATGATTTTAAAACAGAGAAGTTAAAAACAAGCATCAATAAGCCATTGTGGAAGGATGGACTATTAATTACTTGCATAGGCCTGGTGGAATAAAAAAAGTTTCAGCAGGCATTTAAAAGTTGAACAGTTGGCACAGAAATCATCTGCTGAATCTCCATTGGCAGAGTATTCCACAGAACCTCTAACTCTCAGGTATCATACTCATTGTTATCCAACGAGTCTCACCAACTTGCAGGGATGAGACTGGGGGTGATACAAAGTGCACAAGGATCTTCAGTGGGAGAATCGGTGGAGGTAGTGACCGAAGGGGCTGAGCAAAGGAGCTCTGAGGGAGCTGGTGGGGAACAGCAACAGCGAACTGACTGGAAGGGACCTACGTGGTAAGTGCACGAGTGGGAAGAGCACGCATGCTTGTTTGTTTGTAACGTCACCTCTGCCCTCCCCCAACCTCACCTCACCTGCTATTGGTTGGGACAGATGGTGAGGTCACACACAGTCCTGAGAGGGAAGCTGGAGCAGTGAAGCTGCTTGCAACATCTGCGGTTCCCTACTGAGTCGCAGCCGTGTGTGAGTTAACTGCTGCACAAGAGAAGGCAGGGTGCCATTGGCATTTTGAGAAAACCCTGGACATTTTGCCCAATTTAAAAAATCCACCCGGACAGAAATTTCACCATTAAAAAAGAGGACATTTCCAGGAAAAGGAGGATGTATGGCAACCCTTGCTATATGGACACTTTGGGCCTCTTATGCAGCAGATCCAGGTATTGGGTGAAAGGTCTCTTTAGTCCAACTTTTTGCTTCCCATGTTGACCAGTCAGATTCCTAGTGCTCAGGTCAGAAGTCCAGAAGCAAGACATGAATGCAATAGCTGTCTCCCATAGTTGTCCCCCAGTGAGTGGTATTCAGAGTCACACTACCTCTGATCCTGAATGCAACCAGCCAATGTGGCTAGTAGCCATTCATAGGCTTCTCCTTCATGAATTTGTCTAACCCCCCTTTAAAGCCGTCCAAGGAATGCAGCTGTAGCAAGGAAGTGACCCATGTAGTTTCACCAGGCTGCTTTTATTCAACAGATTCCCTTCCATTTGTTTCAGATCCACTCTAAAGACACCTTCCCTCTCCCCATGCAATATTTCTGCCAAGCTGACATTCTGAATGCTAGAGGAGAAGGCACAGCTTCTCACACACACAGTAAATAAGGCTGAGATTACCGGTAGTGTGGAATGGGACTGACTATTGCAATATTTAATCTGCTGGGTGGGCATATCATTAAAATGGATATCCAGGGCTTTAATCATGATGCCAAGCTGCCATCTGCCTCCTCCATGCTCCCTCTTGGCTTAGGCCGGGGCTCAATATACGAGGGGACAGCTTGCAAGAGCACCGTCGTCATAATTCATCTTCTGAGCACGATGGCACAAGCTGTTTTGGCTTGATGAATCCCTGCCATATAAACATGCGTTCCCCATTAAAGCTGCTCAAGCAGGCAATTAGACCTTGGATGAGGTTAGGGGCAGAGGACCAAGCTACCACTTGTTCTTCGGTGCTGGACGAATGGGGTGCTGCATCCCCTAAGAAGCTTTCAGAAGCACCTTAGATAATTTAATCAAACATGGTGTTCACTAGTGAAATGATGTGAGAGGTGAATGTTTCCCCCCAAGGCTTGGCTTGCTTTTCTTTCACTATGCAAGGCACAAATATGGAAGGCATGCAGGTTTCATGTTTCCATAGAATTCCACTGAACCCCAACAAAATATGAGTTCAACATAGGTTGCTCAAGAGACTGAACTGCAGGCAGCTATTGGAGATGAGCGCTGGGATCAATGCCAGAGAACTGGGAATGCATTGAAATGCATCAGAGTCTGAAAGATTTTTTATTTTGCTTCGGGTGCATCTCCGCCCAAACAAAAAGACTTTAATACCCATTCTTTTCCCAGATCAGAGGTGGGAAACATCAGAACTGGGAAGTCTCCCTACTTGTCCTTCAGAACTCTCCCCAGGTCACATCCCCTCCCGAGCCACGTCCTCCCCAAGCCACACCCCTCACCATCCTTGCTTGGCATCCTCATGAGTGTTTTTGCCAGGGTAAAATGTGTCCTTGGACTCTGGGAATGCCTCTTGCTTGGCTGGATGGAAGAGAGAGAGAAGGTGTGTGTGTGTGTGTGTGTGTGTGTGTGTGTGTGTTGGCCTGCTATACAAAGCCAAGATTTAGATGCATTGCTGCACACACTGCTGCCTCTAGCCATGCCCACAACTGATACATGTGCTCTGAGTGGTTACCCAGCAGACAATAAGACCTCTGCAAAAGTTGGCAGAAAAATAAACATGAATTTTGCCTTTGTTTAGTATGCTTGTTTCTTTACATTCACACACCACTATCATCCATCAAGGTAGCCTTTGGCCCCTGGGTCCTGAGATTCTTCTTATGTTCTTAATAGTTTCAGAGTTGCCAAATGCAGTATCCTTCAACCACCCAAGGCCTTGAATAGTAACATTTTTAAATTTCCCCCATATACACTAATGATGAGGGGGACAGGGACAACTCAACAAAGAGGGCATCGCATAACCAGGGGGCTGGTTCTGAGAAAACTCTGGTGTGAGTCCCCACCAACCAGGAAGTTTAGGAGCATTATTCTCAGTTAAGGATGAGGGGTGATTGCCTTTTCCACAGCTGGTTACTTCCTACGCCCCTTCTCAAAGCTAAGTTTGGGCTTACCGTGTTTTCTGTTGTGCTTGAAATTGGGGTGTAGGGAGAGGGTGGGAACTTGGTGAGGGAAGGACTGGATTCCATTTTGTGCCAAACCTATATGCAGAAGGAGGTAGGAAATGATGTATGAAGGCAGTAATTTCCATTCCAACCACTGCTCATTGTATGCAGCACTGTATCCATTCCCAATACAGTTTGAGTTCTGACCAAAATTGCATTATTTGTTTCACTGTTTGCTGTGGCAGAATTTTGTATAATTAATCGCATTATCATTACGTTTCCCCACACCATTCATTTCATGCAAATGAGAGGGAAGAAGTCATCATTGACATGTTGTTTGTTGACCGAAAACAACAACAGCAAATACTAATCATACTTGCTGATCAATTTCTGCTTCAAACATGGAACGAATAAGCAATTATTGGCAATTTCTGTTCTCATTTTCATTTCTGTCAGAATTCTCAGCATCCTTAGTTTGTAGGCAAGGATGCAAGAAGGCAAGGATTTGACCTTTGTCACAACCAGTGCTTTTTCCATTCAACTGCAGTCCTGTTTCCACCAAATGCTATGTTGTTTGTCATGCTATCCACTATTTGATGTAATTTATGCAAGTTACATAACTTACACTCATTTCTATGCAAAAGATATAGCAAAACGATGTTCTGAAATGTCAGTAATTATATATCATTTGCAGGCTTGGAAAAGAACAGTGATGTGACCAATTGTATTCAATAACCTGATTTATGTCTCTGATTGCAGGGGAATGCACAAACTGCAACAATTTCCGCTTTCTTTGAATCACCTGTTCAGGTTTACCCACAGCTGACATTACTGTACTGAATATGTGGATGGACAACAGGAAAGCTTATTGCTGTAAAGAGCTTTTGGCATGGATGTCAGCTGCAGCTAGGACTTCAATAGCCAGCCTAGCAATGGAAAACCTTGAAAAATCTGCATTTGTCTGTGCGGTATAAGAACTTACGGACTTTGGCTATTGGGGAAAAAATAAACATATACTACTTGTTTTCAGGGTGAGGGGTGAAGGATCCTTCTGGTGGGATTTTATTTTTTATGCTTTGGACTTAGATGCTCAGCATTCACTATCCATGGCAGCTTGGGAAAGATGGATGTCTTGAATTATATTGGTGTGTCAACATTTCTTTCTCTTATTATTTATATTTCATTTGCTTTTTATATGGTGTGATGTGCCATCCTGCTGCCACACTTTCAGGTTGTTAATGTCAATAAAGTTACAAAAGAAAGCCCCACTTCTTTTTTTGTTTTCATCAAAAGTCTCCAATATCCCTGGTTGTGGGCTTTGCTTGAAGTGGGGGAGAAGCTTTACAAACTCAAGCTACCAAACTTCTCTCTGGCTTTGGTACAGGAATCATTTTTTAAAGGTTGTTTTCACACCCTCCCCACCCTTTTTATATTTTAAAAAAATGCATTTCACACTTATTTCATAGAGACACACTTGAAGAAAAGTGAGTCAAATGTGACTGAGTTCAGGTTTAGAATAAAAAACCCTGCCAAATTGGAGCCATCCCCTCTGATGTTCAAGAAGGGAGGGTGTGGCCATATGTTGCAGAAACCAGAGTGTATAAATATCACACAATAGGGCTCAGACACTCAAGTTCCAAGGAGATGGGCTGAAAAGTGAGGAAGAAGAAAAGGGATATCAGAGTGGTGCTGACAAAAGGGGGGTCTTGCGCACTGCTGTAGGCAGAATGAAAATAATCAGTGCCACAGGAGAGGAGATGGAAAAAGCAGTCATTCCGAAAAAGCAGACATTTAAGAAATTAAAATAAAGGCCACTGTTCTGAATGGTATCATCTTTATGCAAGGAAAAGAAAGATACTATCTGAGACACAATCTGGACAGTGAAGGATATTTCCCCACCCTTCATTTCCTTCCCAGCCTTTCAATGCTGGTCAGATTATACCCTCCATGAGTGGTCATACCACCTACTCCATAGATCAGTGTTTCCCAACCTTGGGCCTCCAGCTGTTTTTGAACTACAATTCCCATCATCCCTGATCACTGGTCTTGCTAGCTAGGGATGATGGGAGTTGTAGTCCAAAAACAGCTGGAGGCCCAAGGTTGGGAAACACTGCCATAGATGATAATGCACTATTTCAAGGGTGCAGAACCTTTGGCTTGGGCACCAGATGTAGCTGTCCAAGCCTCTCTGTATGTCCCTTAAGGCTCCCCAGGCTACACGCATCACACCAGCCCCACTTCTTAACCTCTTTGAGTTGTTTTAGCCTGTCTGGAAATCTAATATGGGGCAGATAGGTGTTCAAAGTACACATCCTGTATTTTCAAACCTTCCATTTTGTCTGCCATTGTTGTTGTTACGCTTGTGAAGGCCCTGAGCTGATGTCAGGTGGGCACAAACAATACAGCATTCTGGCTGAACTTGTAACAAGTCTGAGTTTGCTGCTTCATCATGGCAGCCCTCAGATTCTTCCTGGGCCACACCCTCTTTCCCCAAGCCACACCTACCAGTGGCCTTATTTCACACCCTCCTCAAGCATCTTTGCCTGGCTGGAAGCTACCACTGAGTGCTGATGATGCATCTTGCCAGTGGCGTAGCGTGGGGGGTGCCAGGGGTGCCGGCCGCACCGGGCGCAACATTTTGGGGGGCGCGTTTGGCCGGCCCCCCTCGAGGAAGCGGGAACCTCTCCAAGGCACAGCGTGCCGTCGGTAGAGGAAAAAAGCCGCGCAGCAGCAGCAGCAGCAGCAGCAAAGTCGGGAGGAGGAGGAGGTGGAGCGAGCCTGCTAATTCCTTGCTGGGAATTAAGCGGCTCAAGACTCTCTCCACTGGCCGCCTGGGTAGTGAGCCGAGCCGAGCAGGGAGTCTGGCGAGGGGGCGGGAAGAGACTTTCCCCCCTTTTTTCCACCTCGCCTGGTCAAAAAGGAGAGCGGAGTCTCCTCAGGGCGCCCTCAGGCAGGGCAGGGAAAGGCAAGCAGAGCGAGGAGGAGAGGGGGGGGGAGCAGCCAGGAAACGCCGCGGTGTGGAGGAGGAATCAATTTAGGAGAGAAAGCGAAAAGCCTTGGAGAAAGGGAAAAAAGGAAAGAAAAGAGGCAGCTCCAGGAGAGCGCGGGGGAAAGAGAAGCCTCGCTGCTGCTGCTTGGGAGAGTAAATTACTGTACTTGCCTTGCCCCGGGTTAGGGGGCGCAAATTACTTGCCTTGCCCCGGGTTAGGGGGCGCAAATTACTTGCCTTGCCCTGGGTGCTGATAACCCACGCTACGCCGCTGCATCTTGCTTGCCTGGATGGAGGTTAGAGATACATGGAAACGGCCCTGCTGTGCTGAGGCAACCTTTATACAGTGGTGCCCCACAAGACGAATGCCTCACAAGACGAAAAACTCGCTAGACGAAAGAGTTTTCCATTTTTTGAGGTGCTTCGCAAGACGAATTTCCCTATGGGCTTGCTTCGCAAGACGAAACGTCTTGCGAGTTCTTGTGAGTTTGTTTCCTTTTTCTTAAAGCCGCTAAGCTGTTAATAGCCGCTAAGCCGTTAATAGCTGCTAAGCCACTAAGCCGCTAATAGCCGTGCTTCGCAAGACGAAAAAACCGCAAGATGAAGAGACTCGCGGAACGGATTAATTTCGTCTTGTGAGGCACCACTGTATTAATTCCCCCTTTCCCCCTCTGACCACACCCACTACTGGAATGTGCTATCACCACCACCCAAAACTACATCTGAAGAGGAAGATGGTTGTGACTGGCAGTTAGTGGAGGCAGAAGCAATGATGAGCAAGAACCCTAATGGGGGCAGCAGCAGAGGTGCCAATAGGCCTTCTGAGCACTAGGGCCATTTGCTAATACCCAGTCCTAGGGACCCCCTGCCCTGCATCATGTAGCATAGGGAAAAGGTAAGAGAGTGTTCAGCTGTGGCCATTTCCCAGTGTATAGGTTGAACAACTGTGTTTGATCATCACAGATGTGAAGATTAAGAAAACATTTGGCAACCCAGGAAAGGTTGTTGTCCCAGCAAGAAGTCTGCTTTTAAACAGCTGGGGTTTCCAGACTAATTTGTCCAAGACACTGAATGCTTTTGCAATTGTAAGTGAGTCTTGTAAATGGAGGTCACAGCAGGGTCCTTGTGCTTTTACTCCTAACAGGAGTGAGGTTCCGAGTGTCTTGCATGCCACTCTGCATTCCAAACCAATTGTGACAGTTAGAGGGGCTTTAATTGAAGCTGATGGATTTCAGGTTGGCTGAGGGCTTTTGCCAAACCGGGAGGCCAGCTTCTCTCTGGTTTGAATGACAAAAAGGTTCATTGGGCTTCCTGCTGAAATGGCTCCACACAAGTGAGTAGGACATCATCATGAGCCCTGGGTTAGCAGTTGATCCGGCAAAGTTGCTAGGTGAATCTGCTCCAAATTAATGCCTCTTCTCATACACTCCAGTGATGGGAGAGATTTTCAATGGTGCATGTCACAGCCGAGAGTGCTGAACTCAATATGGCATTTGCCTGCTTTATAGTCTCCCAGAGTGTGCAGCATTAAAATGAAGTTTTCTTAAGCAGTACTGCTGAAGTTCTCAAGTGCTTGGATGCCACTTAATTCGGGACTGAGCCAGTGAAATACAGTGAGGGACCTCAAATAGGAATTCTCAAATGCTGAGTCATCCTATAACAGTAGTCCAATACAGAAGATAGATCCACTGGCATTTCTTCATTGAACCCTGAGGAGACACCTCTATCTATGCCCAGACTCCAGTGACTGGCCCACAGACCAGTCCTGAGGATCAGGAGAACCTAGAGGTGCTTATTTCTCCACTTAAAAAAATTAAAATAAAAAATATCTCTGCAGCTTGAAACTCCACTCTCTAGAGAGCCTCCATATGCTGTAGGACTCCAACTCCCTTCACCCCTGACTATTGGCTGTGATAGCTGGGGCTGATGGGAGTCCAACTACAGCTAGAAGGCCACACGTCATCCCCACCCCACCCCGTCTAGAAGAAGCCAACAGCTAGAGGAAAAGGCACCAGTTTTTAAACTGTCCAGATGAAGTATGCAAGGGGTGAGGTTTTCATCTTGGACACAGCTGAAACAACTTGCTTTTTCTGCCTCCATTCCATTACAGGGCTGCTAACTGTTGTCCTGAACTGGTACTATGGTCCTTGTCCAGAGTGCTAACCTGGCCTAACATTAGCTTCTTGTCTATTCCAGTACTTATGGGTCTTTCTGTCATGCCAGATGAATCTTGTTTCTTTTTTCTTTTTTTGTTAGAGTTACAAGCTTGGTGGATCAGAGGAATACTGTGGATGTAGTGTATCTTGATTTCAGTAAGGCTTTTGACAAACTCCCCCATGATCTTCTTGCAGAAAAGCTAGTAAAATTTTGGTTGGATGAGGTTACTGTTAGGTGGATTTGTAGCTGGTTGACTGACCAAATCCAAACAGTGCTCACAAATGATTCCTCACCTTGCTGGAAAAAGTGACAAGTGGGGTGCCATAGGGTTCTGTTCTGGGCCTGTTGTTGTTCAATGTCTTTATAAATGACTTGCATGGAAGAATTTAGGGGATGCTCATCAAATTTTCAGATGACACCAAACTGGAAGGGGTAGCTAATGCAGCAGAAGACAGAATTGGAATTCAAGATGATCTTAATAGATTGGAAAACTGGGAACAAACTAACAAAATGAATTTCAATAGGGACAAATATAAGGTTTGATACTTAGGCAGGAAGAACCAGCTGCGGGTTGGGTAGATGTGGAAAACCTGGCTTGCCAGTAGTACATTTGAAAAGGATCTAGGGGTCTTACTAGACCACAAGCTTAATATGAGTCATCAGTGTGATGCAGCAGCAGCAAAAACAAAAACAAATAAAATAAATCAGAAAACTAATGCTATTTCAGTCTGCATCAGCAGACTACTGGGTCCACTTCTGGGTATTCCAATTTAAGAAGGATATTGACAAGCTGGAACATATGCATGTTGCATGCATTTAGACAAGTAGGAGAGGGTATTTTCTTTAGTAATTATCCTTCCTCTTACCCACTTGTGTAAGAAGACATACATCTATTTCAGCAGAGTTAAACTCACAATCCATGTATGCGGTGGACCTATAAGAAAGCAAGGTAATTTTGGGAAATGATATATGATGGGAAATGATATATGATGGGAAACCATCAGAACAGCAACAGATGGACTCCTCGAGCAGCCAGAACATTGCACCTTCACTGGTCTTGGTGTATGCTGAGGTTGAAGGAGGAGAGTTTTCAAGCCCTCTTTATTTCTTGCAAAC